TTTAATTTACGAATCAATGGATTGCAGCATGCCTTATGGACATGGCCCATGCCACAATTTACAGACAACTGACAAGCCAATCCATTACGTTAGCTTTCATTAGCACCGATATAAATTGTATTCTATGGTGGCCCAGAGTCAATTACATCGGGATGGGTGGCGCTACGGTCCGAGCGCTTGCTTCATGGTGGGAACACTGCGAGATAAATTCCTGTCAGGAGACGATGATGGAATAGACTACTTTTGAAGCAAAGTCCAAAGTCGGGCCTGCGATGGTAAGGAATGAGGACTTTCCACCACTGGTTATGGGCCGACTTTGTGGCAAGGAGTGCTGCCCCCCCCATTGTCTGTTTGAGCAGAGAAACAATGACTTCAGAAGAGGACTATTTCAGCTGGGTAAGCCTCCATTGAGCCAAGAAACTCTTCCCCAATGACGATCATAGCCCAAGACAGTCGGCAACGGTTTTATGAAATTTCACGGTGGGAATGTACCACCAAGAGACAAAAAAAGAAGACTTGACTTTGACTATAAACCAATTATGCTTGTGTTGGAATTGTGTTTGTGATAAACCAAGTGGAGGCATGTTTTCTGATTGTTGCAAATTCGAGGATCAAGCCCAGTGCCCGCCCTGGTTAATACTGTGGGTGTATTAACAAACAGATACGCGCCGTTTATTTCAAGTGGACGTTAAGGATCCCGTGAGGCTGTTCAGAAAAAAAAGAGTAACCCACGTGTGTCGGCATCACGGACCAAATTTGAAAATGACCCAAAATAACTTAATAGGATGATATCATCGAAACGTCGCCTCCTCTTGGCAAAGTACACCCGTCTGCAAAACATAACGCCTGAGTGACAGCCCTGTGCTATAATGAATGGCGCAAACACCAAATGCACCAACTGTAATTAAGAGCTGAAAAAACTTCCTTCTAGAACTCCCGACAGGTTAGCAGGGCCTCGACAGCGCCGTGTGGAGGAATGGCCCCGGAAGAAGATGCCACAGAGCCAGGTCCGTAGCAGTCACTGCAACGGGTGTCTCTCGCGCAACAATGGAAGGCGATCCACACAGAGCCGTTCGGTGTGTGTCACTATGTACAAATGCTATCATCGCGAGGATAAGCTCAAAGTGGTTCAAAATATAATTTCCTGTATATGATGATTTTCCTCTTCAGTCAATGGTGACCGGGGCTGAAGCCATCACAACTGGCTATACTTGAGAAGTGCAATTTGATTTAAATTGATTATATTTAATTGGATTTCTTGGGATTATAAACCAAACTAAGATACTCTCACGAGAGATAGGGCTTCTTTACGCAATCATAGACCTGTCAATCCAGTCGTTAATGGGGGTCTCGAGCCAACAGACAAAGACACCAGGTCTCTGATGAGATCTCTAGACAGACACAGACAGATGGGGGTCCAGAAACAATAGACTGGCAGAATAATCAACACAACCGCCTGAAACAAAAATATACACTACGCCTCCTTTGCCTCGACAGCTCTCCATTGTTTGCCATGGCTGCTTAATACAACCATCCAATCCCAATGACGCCATGCTACAATTGTGTACACACACACATATATACTTGTTCTTTTATAGCAGGACGGGTTCATACGAGGACAACGCCATGGGAGGAGGGCGAGCAGTGAGGGACTGGGCAAGGAGGAATGGGGATATGGGAGTGGGGGATGGGCCAGTGGGTTTTTTTTAGCAGGCAGGCGAGTGCGTGCCTTCGGAAAGCCCTGCTCCGCACTGTACATGGTGGTCCGGATGTCTTGTGACCCCCGAACATTTGTGTTCCTTTGCAGATTCGTTTCTATTTTAAAGAAAAATTACCTTGTAAAAAATAAAAATTAAGTTTTAGAGAATGAAATGGGGGGGATGGGGTCACAATACATCTGGACCACCCTGCACATTTCAATGCTTTTACATCGTTGATCACGTAAAGTAGAAGCAGTTGAAATTCACTCTTGTTAATTTACGCAATTATGTATGGAGACTTTCTTTCGCACCGTACGTAGCCAACCATGCCAATCGGAGGTGCGGGGGGAGGACAACAAACGAAACACGAAAAGCAGTTCTAAAATAAATTAGTTTTCAATTTAGATTTTAAAGTGCCGATGTTACCGAGAAGCTCATCATGCCAAGTGCAACAATAGCATTGGGTCGAGTTCACTTAGGGGAGGCCAAGGCGAGGTCAGACAGCAATTGCTGCTGGTGATTGTCTTGTATCTTGGGTTGCCCAAGTTGAAGCTCTGCATACTAACCACTGCTCTTACAAATATCCCCCATAAAACGAATACATCTTGGTGGAGTAAGCGCTGTTAGCACATTTTAAGGCCGGCATTGCAAAAGTGGGGGGTGGGGTCAGGCCAGAACCACAACCAGCCACTTTTGTCTCCCCAGGGCTCAACTTGACACACACCACGAGCTACTCATTTAAGGCAGAGGGGAGGCCCTGGACCGTTGAAGACAATCGCCACCGATGTGAGCTGTGGTTGCGAATTGAACACAAGAAACTGGGTTCACTGCGCAGTGCACAAACCACTATGCCACCACTCCCCACACTGCTCTATACAAAGACAAAGATCCCCGGTAAAGCCTTAACAGACTGTTAGGGTAAGTGCTGTCAGCGAGCACATATGAGGGCTGGCACGGCACATGAGGGGGGTGGGGTGGCCAGCACCATGCCCGGCCGCCTTTGTCTCCCCAGTGGTGATGTTTATACACCGCACCAGGCACTCATATGAGGGAATCTAACTTGGGTTCATAGCGCAGCTCGCTCGCCGCTACACTACCGCTTTATACGCCCACCGGCACACCAACACTGGAACTCACATGAGCGTGTAAGAATGCACATACGCACGCACAAAGGCATGACACCAACGAAAACACAACCGCTTGCACGCACACACACAAATTCTGCACATGCACGCACATAGCAAAGGCAAACAAAAACACAACAATTTATGTGTGAACACATACACACACACGTGCTAAAATCCGCAATTTAAGAAAAAGTTAATGAAGACCAAATCACCCGCAATGCATCAGACCTCAGATGCTAAACAGGCTTGAGCCTGGATAAGTGACCACCGTGCATGCCAGGTTGTTATAGGCGAATGCGGGGTTGTGCTAAATTGCAGGCAGCAGAAGGCAGCGCAGAAAAACCCATTGTCGTCCTGCACTTCTATGATCCCACACATCTATGCACCCGGCTTTCACCAAACCGCATTGACCGGCGTGAATTATGATCAAATAACCACCTTGCTATTGGGGAAGACCTCGTCCAGCAGTGGATTGACTAAAGTGTACGTGTAGAGGACATATAGACGAGCTTTCCTTGTTAGGCATCTCATCTATATTCAAGTGACGAGCCATTCGCGCACACATCTGCAAGTGCGACGTAGACATTATCGGCAAGGCAGGATCACTGCTCATACCATTTGGCAATTGCTAACCATCCCTCTGCTCGAATAAGCATCGAGTGGCGCTCAAACTCCATTGACGGGCAAAGAGCCCGCGATGGAAATTCCACATTCCTATGACAGTGGCCAGGTTCCCAATATACAAGAGCCTCCGACGATAAGTTCCCACTTGAGTACTCAATTAATCAGCCTTGGAAAGGGAGCAACGACGATGGGCCAGGTCCAAACCACTCGTGCACCCTTCCAACCGTGAGTTTCAACTGCAGCGCCACTCGACCAGTTCAATGCGATGAGACGGCGGTGAATGACGACTCGGGGGGGAACAAGGTTCCGTCCAGTGCCTGCAGTGCCCGAAGGTTCGTCAACCGGTGGACCCCCACAATGCCGCATGTTGCTAAATATGACCACCCCCCCCCCCCCGTCGCCATCCCCCCACCGCCCCCCCCCCCCCCACAAGAGACATCACTCACCGAGACAGAGGTACAGATTCGTGAGATCGAAGAGCAATAATGAGGCGCAGATAAGAAAAAAGATGAGCGGTACAGATTGACGGTCACATGTATAGACGCTATGATGTCACGATGCAGTGTGACGTCATTCGTTTAACACGCAGCCTTTCGCGACCAATATTATCTATAATATATGAAAAGAATGTGGTTATATCGCGTAAATATGTATCGTTAAACCCAGCACCTCCCGACACAGCCAATTGGTAAGGTTTGTCACGTAAACAGAACGTGCCAATTCATCACTAGTACAACACACCTGTGTGTTGGAGAGAAAATCCACAACATTTCCAATCCGAGGATGACACTTTCACCAGTAATTACAACTACTATCATCAGGCGGACAGCCAGATTTGTGGAGAAATCCTCCCATTTCGTTTCTTAAATAGATGGCGTCACTTGTGCGCCCTTCACGTGCAAAGGGGGGGGGGATAAAAAAAACCCTATGTTATTACATAGGATGTCACGTGACCTGCCAGCACGTGCTAAAATAGTTTTAAAATCCTCTTGTATGCCATTTTTAAAGAAAATAATAATACTTGCGTAGATATTGCGGCCATAACTTAACGTAACGTCTGAATAGCGCTGTCTTGTAGCCAAGGTGACCCTGCTAATTGGCAGCCTGTCCCCGTAAACACGGCACAAAAATATTATCGAGCAGCTCCCAACTTGTAGATACACACGCAGGCTGTGTCCTGAGCTCCCTCGCTTGAGCTTCAAAGCTTTGCAAACGTGAAGGAAAAACTTCAATTTACAAATCCCGACGTTTTTTTCCCCCGTTGAGCCAGGCTCTAAGACATGTCCTACGGTGATTGTGGTAGGAGTGGTGTTGTTGTTGCTCCTGTTGTTGTTGTGTCAATAGTGTTGTTGTGTCTGTGGTGTTGTTGTTGTGTCTGTGGTGTTGTTGTTGTGTCTGGGGTGTTGTTGTATCTGTGATGGTGTTGTTGCTGTTGTTACGTCCGTGGTGTTTGTTGTTATATCCGTGGTGTTGTCGTTGCTGTTGTCACTTTAATGTCCGTGGTCGTGGTGTTGTTGTTGTTGCCGCCGTGTCCCGGGGTGCCTCTCACCTGGCTGAGCGTGCAGGTGTGCGAGTATCCGGGCTTGGTGAGGCGCACCACCTCGCCGGCACTCTCGTAGCTCACGACGTACAGGTGGTGCTCCAGGGGCGAGTCCATCGTGCCCTGGAAGAAGACTAAGCCGCGGCGCTCGTCCACCCACACCTGCCGGCACAAAGGTCCCCCACCGTACAGCCTTTACACGCTGCCGGGGCAAGCGCTGCTGCTAGAGCAGTACGCAAAAATGGGGAGGGTACAACCGTGGACCAGAACTTTCTCTCCCCAGTGGCGATGTATTTTGACACATCGCACCAGGTACTCAATTGAGGCCAAGTAGATCTAGAGGAGGCAGCCCAGATAATAGTCATTGGCGTTTGCCGTGAGCGGGAATCGAACTAAGGTCGCTTGAACTGTGCGCACTCTCATGGCGCACGTATTATACCGGAGGCATCACGCCAGGTCTCTCTTGGACCCAGGGCTGCGTGCTACAGTTAACAACCTCAAGCGGGGAATTTAACCAGCAGGAGTCCCGGTGACAAACTGCCACCAACTCCATGCCACCCTTACCTTGGAGCCCTGCTTCCCCAGCACCTCCCAGTTGCCGCTCGTGAGCGCCACCTCCGTCACGGGGCACAGGAAGTCTTCTGTAAGGAGAACCGCATGGTGGACACCCATCAGATGGACCATCATTCGACTGCTGCCCACCAGCCAGCATGGAACCCACGACACATCTCGTACATTACACGGCTGACAGACGAGAAACTAATATTTGCAATTTTATTCAGTTTTAGCCCAATTGTGCACTCGGTGTCATGCCATGAGCCGAGTAATGAATTGAGAACTCTGGCAAAGCAGTGCAACTATATTTGTGTTTGAGAAAGGCCAACGGAAGTGGATATCAGAGAGCCACTTCCGGGTTCCCACACAGTATGGAGCAGCACTTTTCTACCTGTTTGACACTTGAAATTAACACCCGATACTTTGAATTAAACCGAATGGATTCACAAACCTGGCTCATTCAAAGGCAGCTGTCTGGACCTCAGCGGCAGTGCCAGCTCATCGCTCAAAGCCATCCGGCCACCTCAACAACAAATAATTTCAAGCACAAACCCCCGAAGATCACCCGAGCAATAGCTTGTATGTGATGTCAGTTCTGTCATTAATTTATTAAGGATGTGGATTTATCATCTGTGTAGGGCACTCAAGAGGGTAAACATTGCCGTGACCAGTGCACAAATGCAGCACACCTCTAGATTACGGAAACATGAATAACGCCGGCAAATCCCTCCACCCTGGCACCGGCGGTGGCAGTGCCGTGGGGTACCGTGCGTACCAGGTGCAGGGCTGTGATGCGCCGAGCGTCTGTAGGAGCTGGGCGCCAGTGTGGCCGTGACGCGGTACAAATGGCGGAAGCCGGTGCGGCACTCGCTCGCCCACAGGAAGGTCAGCTCGTCCTCGCGCGTTTGTGCAAACGGGTGGAATATGTCGTGCACCTGAAAGTAACACAGCCAAGGCCCACAATCGTTCATTACTCATACTTGTGCGTGCATGTGTGTGCGTAACGGTTAGCGCCCTGCGCTACGAACCCGGCAACCCAAGTTCCATTCCCGCTCACGGCCAAGACCAATTATGGTTATCTGAACCGGTCCTGGGCCTCCCATAGGTCGACTGAGCCTCAAATGAGTACCTGGTCTGGTGTGTAAACATCACTGCTGGCGAGACAAAGGCTGTCGGGCGAGGTGCTGACCACCCACCACTGGTGTACCATGCCAGCCTTCATAGATGCTACTCGCTAACAGTACTTGCCCCAACAGTATGTTAAGGCTATATGGGGATCTTTTTCTTTGCATAAGGGGGTGCAGTGGCACAATTAGTGAACCCGGAAAACAGAGTTCGATTCCGAGCGATATCTGAACCGGTCCTGGGCCTCCCGTAGGTTGACTCGGCTTTAAATGAGTGCCCGGTGCAGTGTGTAAACATCAGCTCTGAGGATGACAAGAGGGGACCGGTTGTGGTTCCGATTCTGTGTGCGTCGCGAGTGCTCGGCGGCTCACGTTGATCCACACGTCCGTCTCCTCCTGGTAGATGACGAAGGGGTTCACGTCGTCCGCCACGGGGCTCGCCCCTTCGTCCCCCTCCGTCGAGGACGGTGCCACGAACATGGCTGGGGGGATGAGCGCCAACTGCAGGCGCTGCTGGGGTCGGTCGACCAGCACCACCCACACGCTGCACGGGGAGGAGGAGGAGGTGAGAAGGGCGGCACTTGCTGCACAGATCAAACTAAACTATTTTTCTTATTTCTAGATTTGAAGTGTGACTGCAAGGATTCATACTCTTAGGTTTTTTTCGGTAAAGTCACGTAGGTAAAAAATAAAATAAAAATTTGTAAAAGTAAAATAAAAAATCACGTCTCAGCACGATTGCTGTATCAAGTACTTGATACAGCAATCCTGATGTGACGGTTCCACCTGAAGACAGAAACTTGTGTTGCCTCCGAAACGTCGTGATTTTTTATTTTACTTTTATTAATTTTAATTAAATTTTTTACCTACGTGACTTTACAGAAAAAACCTAAGAGTATATTTTTATTACTTTACCAGGTAAGGCCCACGGAGCTAGACAGAGCTCTTTTTTAGTAGCGACCTGGCCAAAAATGATAGCTCAACGAAGTGGAAATTCATCACAGCCAAACACTCTAAATGCATGTTTATTCTAAATGTGGAGGGAAAAACTGAAAGACCACCAGAGAAAAAGCTATGCATTCACGGGGAGAAGATGCAAACTCCAAATATACAGGCGTCATCATCATCAGCCACCATCAACCCACTACAGGATGAAGGCCTCCCCAAGCAATCACTATCTTTCATGGTGCTGCAATGTAACCAATTCAGCTCACACCTGCACACAACCCGACTCTATGGCTCCATCTCTATGGCTCCATCTCTCAGGTGCGTTCGCTATTATGGTTTTCAATCTGTTGCTAGTCTCGACCGCCCTACTCCCCAAAGTGCATAAAGTTCAAGAATACTTAAAAGGGCACGGAGGCGCATGACTGTGATCAAGTGTTAAGGGTTCGTGGATTATGCAAATTGGTAGAACTGTTCTCTGTCTATCTGCGACCCAGGTTCACTCTTGCCAATGAGAGTTCTCACCCTGGGTTTACCAAAAATGAACTTGAACGTATCCTGGGCTGACAAAAGTGTAAAGCTTTGTAAATTATATATAGATGTTTTTTAAAAACACTTTTCAATTCACGGTAAGATGTTAATTCGTAGCGCTCACGTGACATCACCGCTGCAATTAAACGTGCGAGGGAGAGACTTTCACGGCACTTTAACCACACCTCTGATTAGCGCGGTTGCCGACGTACAGTGCGAAAGAAGTTCAACATACATACAACCACGACCTCGATTTTAAATTAAAATATAATTCCGCTAAACAAAGCTGCCGAGTCCATTACTAACCCATCCAATACATAAACCTCGTGTTCATCGCATCATCCCGGATACGAGAAGCTGCACAATAAACAAACTAATTCCATTGGTCTCGCACATTTGTTTGAGCTCACACGTTTTAATACACGTGCCGGGCGAGGGCGCCGTTCCTCGCCAAAGGGGGCACGCGAACAAAGAGACGAGGACGCTCACTATTTCCCGTCGGGCGTCCACCCGGCGCGCGTGATGTACTCCATGTCGGGGAAGAGCTCGTCGAAAGGCTGAACCAGCTCCAGCCCGACCACGTCCGTGATCTGCATGCAGGTCACACATTTAACAAAGTTGGGAGGAAGAAAAAAGAAATATGCACACGTGTGGATTATGCAGCACACTCTGCGGTAATGCGTTTATCCTTGGAAGTATTCTATTCCGAGTTAACCAAAAAAATATATTTTTATTTTACCAGGTAAGGCCCACTCAGCTATGCGGCTCTTTTTAAGAAGTGACCAGGCCATCACGTGGATATTTATAGCAGGCAAAACCTGGAGAAAAATCCACGCAACCACTGGGAAAAACTCCAAATATACACGCAGCAGGGGTGGGATCAGACCCACAACCTCCTGTATACCAGGCGAAGTAGTTAACATCTCGCCACCAGCAGCACGGTGGCCGACAGGTAGCGGTCAGGGCAAGATGCAGTTGTAGACTTCCGAATAGTCCTTTGTGCAATGGTTTGTGTCTACAAGTTTCGGGCAATGCTTTGGTCACATTTGGCTGGTATTCAATATGGCAATTCTATAAAAGCAACAACATTATTAAAGAGTTATTTTTATAATGGAACTTCTTTGGCAAAGTTATAGTGCCCCCCAAGTTATAAACGGATTGAAATAATGTATAACGGTTTCAACCTCTTGTTGGAAAGAGTTAAACATACTTAGGCAGTGGTGCACACACACAAAATTCACCATATTCAGCAAAAACACGACATTAACACAACACGGTGACCCAGTGAATAGTGCACTGTACTACAAACCCTGGTGACCTGTGTTTTAATTATTGGCCAAGGTGAACATCAGTGCCGAGTGAACTCTGAACTGGTCCCGTACTGCACCTTCCAGCCCCCACTTCATCAACCTGTAAACCACTGACCAACGTGGCCATAATATGGTCAACAGCCCCCTTGAGTGACGATGCATGTCAGGGGTTTCAATCAGATGACGATTGACATAGGACTCATTTAGCTGTTATATTACATCTCAACACAAACCTCACCGGATGGCAAGGCACTTCTCTCTGAGTCGAGAGACAATGGGATGTATTTCCAGTTTATTTTAGGTGTGCTTTGCATGTGGCAGGAAAGTGGAGTAACCAGATATAACTCGAAGAACTTCACTGATAAGTGAGCAACCCAGTTTCTGTACTGTCATCATTTGCCTACCTGGCCCCACAGGTAAGCTCGATCATGTCTGGCTTATTAACGCAATGCCACATCCTGGAGGTCTTGTACAGTATTCAGTTAATTGCTATAAAGTCAGGATGCAAGGCTGGCACACATTTTCCAGCGAATGGTGATATCTATACCACAGCAACAACAGCCACCAATCGCCACTAAGTGGCGGTGATGTCAGAGTGATCAAAATTGTGAAAGCATGCAAACTCACCTGCCCGTCACTGCCTATACTGAATTCTGATATTCTCAGTGTGACACGGGGATTCTTTGTGCCTACAAAGTAAACACATACGCACAAAACAACATTGTAATTTCCACGCACAAAATATATACTTCTTAACAGGAAACCCCGTGTTTGTAATATACCTTCTGCTCAATACCATAACAACCTCCAGTCGTTGTTTATATGCAGCAATTCATCGCTTTCGTCTCAGGAACCAAGTTTACAGCAGGCACGTAAAAAATACATTGACTAAAATCAATGTTTACGCTCGAGATAAATAAATTGTATCAGAAGACGTGTGCAAGTATTGATTGCTTACAATGTGCAAATTATAGGCACGTGTTGCTTTTGAGCGACAAGAATGAACATGGAAGACATACGAGACATAACAAACCGACTCAACGCACAAGATTAAAAATAAAGAGACCCAACCCTTGAATAAAATCATGACCCTTAACAGCAACATTTCAAACTACAGGGAGAGTGATTCACCTCATTCTTTAGAACTGCATTTTGTGTTTAGTTAGTCGACCTTTCCCTGCACTTCCGATTACCGCGGTTGGCTAATCCTACACAATGTGGCCAATCCTACACGGTTCAATCATTTGTGCATATAACCAATTTCCATGCAACTTTCAAGTCAGTCAGAAGTAAACCAGTAATATATTTTTTAAAGGAGCGCGGGAGGGGGGCCGCATTCTCATTAATTGGCGGCAGAGCCAATCTATCCATTTTCGGGTTCCGATTGCATCTTGGGTTTTTCAACGTGCCATTTGGAGTGCGATCCACTTGCTGGGGAGCTTCGTCGAGAACCGAACTCAGGAAACGGAGAAGCTCCCGGCAACAACCGCGAAACGTCGGACATCGTGCCGGACGGCATGCGGTATGACCCCAAGAACACATCAGGGAGTCGCGCAGCACAACCGCAAAAAACTAGGCGACAAGTAATCTCTTCGTTTGACCATCACCGTCAAACTCCCATGAACCACGTCACTGTAATGCATAAGGCTCGCGGCTAAACCAGAACTCGTGTTTAGTCTTAGCGAGTTCGTTAACCCAGCACTGGCAAGCTGCAGTGTGGCACGCGTCACCTGCGCGTGGGTATCTGTAGGCGTCGGATTTCCGCTCCTCCAGCGCGGGCGAGGGCACGTGGATCACCTCCACCTCAGCCTCGTCCACCTCCTCGTACAGAACCTGCAGCCTGCGGCTCCCATCTTCGTCTGGACGACACGCACGCACGTGTATGCAGGGTTTAACTACACACATCTAAATACTGACACATAATACCAAAAAAAAAGATCCCCCATATAGCCTTAGCAGACTGTACGGGTAAGTACTTTTAGCGAGCATCTGACGGCCGGCACGGAGCATGAGGGGGTGGGTGGGCAACACCACAACCGACCCTCGTTGCACTATCGCTCCCCACTGCTCCACAAATGCAGACACACACTGTACACATGAAGATAAACAAACCATATGTAAAGACACCCTTCATACAACACCATGCAAACACAGCGCACTAAACACACAAGCGTACAGGGCACGTACGCACAATGACAAACGGTCCTTAAAGTCGAAGGAGGGAGTCTGCCCAGCGGAAGGGGCAGCGATTGTGAAGAGGCACTCACTCTGGCGGTTGGTGGGACTGCACCAGTATCCCGTGTAGCGATCAAACTCCTCCTGGATGACAAACGTGGCCACGCCAGCAGAACGGCAATCCTCCAGCACGCCACCCACTCCTTTACCATCACACACACATACAGGCAAGCACACACACGCCAGCATTGCAATCTGTGCGTCACTGCCATTATGGTGCCGAGATGGTAACTACCGTCACATGGTATACAGGGGGGTGTGGGTTTGATTCCGGCCCTGGCGCCTAGTATATTTGGAGTTTGCTTGTTCTCCACATGGTCACGTGGATTTTTCTCCATATCCTCTGGTTTTTCCCGTAGCATTTAGAAATAGGAGTTGAGTATTTGGCTGATATAAATGTCCACGTGATAAGCCATTTCGTTGAGCCATCGTTTGTTGCTAGGTTGCTTCTGAAAAAGAGCTTGATAGCCCAGTGGGCCTTACTTGGTAAAATAAAAAGTTTAGTTTAATAGTTTAGTTTATAACGATCATCTGTGGACACTAAGGCATTAAAACACCTGTGTACCCTAGCGAACCATTAGTCATTCGTGTTTGCCGAGAGCATCGGCCAGCTACACTCGAGAATCCGGTTGAATCAGAATCTGAATCTTTATTTAAACTGGAGGAGGAATCCGATGAGCCATAAAGCTCTTTTTCACAGATGTCCAGTACGGTCGGGTCAGCAAGTCACAACAGCAAAATACTATAGGAGTGCAAAAATAGAAAAAAAGGCAAGTCGCTAAATATTTAAATATTAAATAAATTCATTATATAAGTCTGATTTATCAAGCTTGGGAAAGGCAGGAAAAACAACAACAAAATAATCGCAGACCATACCACAATAACACCACAGAGCAGTTGTCCCTAAATACAATAGAACATGAACATTGAACTATCGATACTACACAGGTAATGATCAAAGTTTCACACATTTGCAAATGTGACTGCTGTATCCAGCAACTAATCTTCGGCTTCACGGTATTTTTTTAAAGAAGATTTACAACGTTTTAATCACAGGGGACTTCAACCTGCATTCAAAACCCAGGATGACGATGGCACGGGCTCACCCTTGCGCGTGTGCGTCAGGCGCAGCTCCTGGCCCGTGCGTATGTTGGTCACCCACAGGTCGCCGCTGTGAATAAACGTGACGAGGTCTGGCTCCGGCGGGCAGATCTTGGGGTCCATGCGGCTGCCCGTGCACTCTGTACGGACCTCTGTGGGCTTCAGTGGTGAGGTCTGGCAGCAGTGGGAACGTTTAAATATGTTAATCGCAAGCTCGATTGGTGGCCCCGGCTAAGAGGCGGGGGGTCTTCCCCCCCGCCACCCCCTTTCACCAACCCACACTGACCAGCATGGGGTGAAGCATGGTCATGACCGACACACAGAGCGTCACGTAAAGCTGTCAATAACGAGTCATAATAATAATAAAGGTATTGGGGTTAGATCGCGTTATTTATAAATGTTTCGTCACCCTCGCGAAAGCCTACGTGCTAAAATAACGAGTCATTAAACAGTAGGCATGCAACCACAGATTGATTTGTATGCACATTATAATGCAAAAATATCATTCTGAATGTGAAAAATGTATGCAAGTTTTTCGTTACGGTGAAAATGATTTGGCAAAAATTAGATGGACAGTACAGATGACACATACAAAACAATTGAGACAGACGGTACAAAAGTGTACATGAGACCGTATAGGTGTGACAGAAGAGTGAGTACTGATGACTGGAAACAGGTGAGAGGGGGAGACCGACCGGAAATTACAGACGGGAGACAAACAGCGAAGACGGGACACCGACCAAAAGGAGACGGGAGAGGCAGGAGACTCACCAGGAAAGTGCTGTTGCTGCCACCGTCCTGGCAGTAGAAGAGGCTGCCGCTGGCCTGGAACAGGAAGGTGCCACTGGTCTTGTGGTGGTCGTAGGAGGTGATGCCGAATGTGCCGAGCCGCTTGCGCTCACGCAGGAGCTCCTCCTCGCGCGAGTATGCGCCAAACAGCGGCGTGGCCTGCACCGCGATGGGCCGGGGGGGGGGGGGGGCAGGACGTCGATTACAGATTCGACAGCGTGCGCACACATCTATGGAGAACTTCTTTCGTAGCCAACCGCAGTAATCGGAAGTGCAGGGCAAGGACAACCAAGTAAACACAAAATGCAGTTCTAAAAAAATTAAATTCTTAGGTTTTCCGGTAAAGTCACGTAGGTAAAACATTAAAATTAATAAAAGTAAAATAAAATAAAAATCACGACGTTTTGGAGGCAACACAAGCTTCCGTCTTGATACAGCTGTCGTGGCTGTGACGGTTCCACCTGAAGACGGAAGCTTGTGTTGCCTCCGAAACGTCGTGATTTTTATTTTATTTTACTTTTATTAATTTTAATGTTTTACCTACGTGACTTTACCGAGAAAAACCTAAGAATATGAATCCTTGCAGTCACGAAAGCTTCAAATCTATAACTAAAGAAATTAGTTTTAAATCTAGGCGATTTTAAAGTCCATAGCTCCAGTGGCTTCCGAATTTCGGAAGGAAGAGCGTTCAAGACTGCCCCAGAAGCGCATCTGAAAGTGCATGCTGCAGTGACCATTTTGCGTAGCTCAACATAGCAGGGCGATTAAAAAGCCGGTGGGCCCTCTCCAAATAACATGGTCCACCACGCATTGTGTCTGGCTCTGAGACTCTGAGATGAAGAAAGAACCTAAGAATCCTTAGGGTTAATTTCTATAAGTCTCTCTTTCACACCAAGCATTTGATATGGGACCTATGAAAGAAGTATATTATAAGAATATGAATTCATGCAGTCACGAAAACTTTAAGTTATGAAATAAGTGTTCATCACATTGTGATCAAGCCAACATTTTAACGTTCAGAACTTGACTATGCATAAGTAAAATGACTAAAAATACTTAAAACGCAATGTTATTTCGCGCCGTTATTGGTGATTGGGCCGAGGGCATAAACTTCGTGACGCTTGAGAACTCGATTTAATCAGTCAACTGCCTGGATTTAAACCCAGGTTCTCTACGGTGTCAACCCAGAGCTCTAACCTCTGTGGCACCCGACGACTCACTGGGAGATAAGAATGCTTAGGTGGTTCAAAGCCTCAATGGTGTCAGCTCAGTTCGAGATGACCATACAATATAAGATTCAGCCAACCCATGTAACGGATAACTGGCATACTATGAGCTGCCGTTGTTAGACGCGTGCCTCCCCAGCATTAATGGACTCACCGTGAAGTGGTTGAGCATCTGCCGCCACGTGAGAATCATGAAGCCGTCTGGGTCGATGGACTTGGGAATCTCAGAATACAGCAAGGAGCTTTCTCTGCTGCCAAAAGGCATACCTGGACCACACACACAGACGTTACAAAATTATAGACTCGCTACCCTTGCGAGTCCTGTTTAATCATGGGGAGGATGGAAGCCGAGATCATTACTTTGAAATAAGCAACTCGGCCATCTACAGTGTAGCTGTTTTTCTTTTATAGAATTTACCCCCAGATTTATGCCAATTGCTCTAATAGTCATGCCCAAAGACCAAGTGTCCATTTGGGTGGTTCGTTGTGCATCGCACTCGTGTTACGGAATGGCCCCCAGAAGTGGCCATCATCCCAGAGCCACCTCTTCAGATCCTTTCAATGAACTGGTCCCAAGAGTAGAGAGCAGCACCTCCCTACCTAATCTGCCATATACGGGCAACGTTCCCGCTCGTCCACATGTCCATCTGAAAAGCAGCGGGAACGCAGGTGGCCACGCGGCTCTCACCCAGGTAGTAAACGCGGTGCGAGTGGGGCTCCGTGGGGGCTCCGTTCTTGGCCACGAAGATGAACTCGTGGGGGGCCTTGCTGGCGAGTAGCCCCTGGTGCTTGCGGCTGGAGCGAATCACGTCGCGCAGGCCTTCCCACGTGTGCGACGTCACGGCGAAGCGAGCGGCCGCGTCCGCGGCCACCCCCGATCCCTCGGCACCACCTCCACAGCCACGTCCGCCACCGCCACAGCCACGTCCGCCACCGCCGCCGCCACCACCCAGCCGCCCCCCATCTCCGGCAACGCTGCCCCCGCTGATGCTCGGACCGCCGCCGCCACCGCCAGCACCGGTGGCGCCAGGTCCTCCAGCGAACACATCCGCAGCCTCGGGAACCTCGGTGCTCTCCGAAAGCAACTCACATACCGCCGCCTGGGCCATGTCGCTGGTAGCAGAGAACAAATGGATGGGGAGGACAGCCAGACAAACATTAAATCACAGCTTTGCACAGTAACGCAACAAGTTCCAGCGTTAAGGCGATAATGGCCAGGGCAGGAATTCCAACACTACATTCCTCACGACCACACAAAGCTACTGCTCTGCATGTCGACCAATTTATCTCCGATCTAATACGTGTTCATTCGTCACGTTCTGCACTTGTCCAATAATTGCTAAACATGCCCAACACACACAAAGCTTCTATGCGGAATTTAATTGGCACGCTCTGTAGAATGCATTAGCAATCATCAGACGTGTAACAATTCAACTTGTATTCAAAAGGAGGAGAATCTGAAAAGTAAAAAAGGTGTGTAGCGTATTGGGCCAGGAGGAATGGAGTTTGGGAAATACCGCACTAAGGCAATCCTGAGGGACAATGACAACAGGCTTACAGCAACTATCACAACTTAGCACATCAACGGTCTAAAATGACATAATTCTGTTAAGTCAGTGATATATATGGTTGATGTGTGTATTTCATGAACAATGATTGGTCCATGGAGCACACAACCTTGGGCAGTCATGTGATATTTGTCCGCAATCCAATTGGACCTTATCATCCCAGTTGATCGATGAGTAAGAGAGCCAGGCGTGTCCAGACGTAGCAACTGCAGTAATAAATATTTTACACTAAAAAGGCATGTGGCAATTGTTGCGGTGATAACTGCCACAAAGCTGCCCCTGTGACACACAGGCTTCAAATGAGTTGTGTGTCTGGCCAAGGCAAGACCTGACTGATGCAACTGTAAAAATTGTGTAATATTACTTTACAGCGGCAAAAATAGACCACTTGGTCCTGTTGCTTGTTTCCCCACAACCCTCCTATGACCAAATCACCTGGAATGCACCCGATCTCGTCAGATCTGAGCGAGCTTGCATACTGCTTGGATGGGCGAACGGATGCGGGGGTTGATTTAGCCATACTTTGCCACACGAGTCAGTGCGGGTTTGGTGAAGGCGGGGAGCTTAGAGCCGATAGCATAGTACAGCACAACACGTATGTTGCTGCGCTGCCCTCTGCCCCACACAAAACATTGCAATTATCTTTAAAATGTGTCTTTTTCACGCAGGTTTGTCAATCATTTAAAAATGTGCATTGCATGCCTAGCAAGGCAGATGATTTAACATTCATAATTTAAATAGGCATAAAAATGAGCAACACTATGTACTATTTTCTACAATCCACAGAAGTAGTAAAACCAAAGTGTTCGAATTTACATAAATCGGTTCATTTTTTATTCGTTAATGAACGAGTCCCGACTTATAACGCGCAACAAAATTCACGCAGCGAGTGACTAAAAACACAAGTCGCTGCCATGTTGCTATTCTCCGCTTTCACACAATTGCAAGCTATTTTTGTATAATTCACGTCTCCCTGGAGATTCTCTCTCATTGGGCTCTCACCTGTTTATAAATAATTGATTACGAGTCACTTCAATAGGGTTCTTATCCACACTCGGGCCACACCCTTCATTCGCCCTACAAGTGGAGTTTGTCACTTGTCAATTGGAACATCATTGTGATTCTCAGAGCTGGAAAACGCAAAGTGAAGTGAAAAACCAAATTGAACGACGATTTCTTTGTACATTCATTGGCGACTAGGCTGAAAGCCACCTACTTGCTACACTCGAGAACCCAGCGTAATTACCGACGGCTAAAACCTCGATTCAAACTCAGGAGGATCTCAGTGCTGCAGATTCTAGTGCTCCGACCTTCCGGCCACTTTTGTACATGTGCATGCAAACCCAATGCTGCTCATGGGGAAAAAAATTACCTTAAGAACCGTACCGACAAAACGTGTTAAGAGCATTCCGCTCTCAACACCTATGGGCGCCATGTACCTTGTGTTGCTACCTACACAGTCGTCTTCAGAAAGCCTCCTCACTTTTTTTGCTGTCTGCATCAACAGCTAGGCTGCTCGGGACTCGGCGTGAGGTCAAACACCTGCACGCTGACGACGGCGGAAACACGCGCAGAGTTAAACGACAACGCAGACAACAACGTATCACGTAGTGTGCATCCCTATCCCTCCCGCCTGGTCAAATCAAATGCTGGATGAGGGCTTCCCCAACGCTGTGCAAGTCATGGGGGTTGTTTGACCATACTTTGCCAGGCTGGGGACGTGGGGGCTGGTGAAAGTCGGGGGGAGGGGAGGCATAAATTGGCGAACAATAAGAATACAGTGCAACAATGTGCATCATTTGATGGCCAAGCCACTGGGGAAAACTGAATCACACTTAGAACTTTTGGGCACACCGCTTTAGCGCGTTTCTCGTAATGTCACAGCTGGTGTCTTCTTAATGTACGAGGTGGCGCCCCATGACTCTGGCTACATCCCGACGACACGTGGTGCATGCTGGGAGCCGTGTCCATGTTATTCTCTGGAGCCCAGCATGAGGATTTGAAACCAATAAGTGGAGAAGTGGTGTAGTGGTTCGCGCAATGAGCTATGGACCAAACTAAATGAGTTTATCCTTTGCCATCAGTGGTGAGTGGAATCTGAAATGGTCATTGGCTCCTTCAATCCCCACTGATAAGCATGCTCAAATAATGGTGAAGCATGGTCAAATTGTAGCAGTGGTTTAACAAATGCATGCAAATAAGCCAAGCCATAACATTGTCACTTAAAAACGTAATTCCGTGTTAATATACACAATCAAATTTCAACGGCTACATTACCACAGATCAATATTGCTTTGAAAAGAAAGAAAATAACATCCAACTGTTTTTTTTAATGTACTTCCCATAAAAGCTCATTCATTGACCTACTCACTCTTTAAAAAAAAAACGCATAATTCTATTGATTGTATCGTTCTCATTTCACAAGACAACATATTCCATTCGCATCTCACGACAACATCCATTGGGAAAATATTGCTTCAAACATAAAATTGCGATCTGCCCAGTGTTGGGTAATCGAGGCCTATTTGAGCGAATCAAGACTTCGCTTTGTGGGACTCACCTTCCCAGCTTTGCGAGGGGGACTAGAAAAAGACACTAAGATAACTTAAGGCTTTATAAGTAATATGACAATCCTGTATTTAATATTTACAGGGTATCATCCATAAAATTGTTTTTATTCAGAATACCATGCATTTGTTTGGTTTCACTTCAAAATAGTCCTAAGAGCTGTGCCGCTAGGCTTTGTGCGCATTAGCTGCTGCCAGTCCTCAAAAGTAAGCAATGCTACTGACTCATATTCTTAGGTTTCTTCGGTAAAGTCACGAAGGTAAAAAATTAAAATTTATAAAAGTAAAATAAAATAAATTTACACGCACCTTTACATCATCCGCACCTAGTTTACACAACAAAGGTTCATTCCTAACAGCGTGCTTCAGCCGCACCGAACCTCACAAAAATAATATTCAGGGTCTACCTTGGCTCCTCCCACCCTCAACCAGCATAAATACAAATACTGTTTCTTGGAATTTCTCTCACTTGATACAGCTATCGTGCTGTGACGGTTCCACCTGAAGACGGAAGCTTGTGTTGCCTCCGAAACGTCGTGATTTTTATTTTATTTTACTTTTATTAATTATAATTTTTTACCTACGTGACTTTACCGAAAAAAACCTAAGAATATGAATCCTTGCAGTCACGAAAGCTTCAAATCTAGAATGCTACTGACACCATAAAGCAAATGTGAAATTGTTAAACTCTAATAAATGAATCAAATGTATTAACCAAGCGGTAGATGCTATGTATTCGTAACAAAGTAAAATGGAGCTAGAATAGAAGCTGGACATGAAAACACCTCTTGGGAGCAAGGGCAGCTGTGCTTATACCTCAAGTGTACTTTAAATGTAACTATTTGCATCCCCCAAACCACCAATGTAATTTCAGCACGTGTTGCTTATATAAGTGTGCTTGTAAAGGTGTGCTTATATCCACGTTGCATTGTATTATAGGATAACTACTTTCCAAAGGATGTTACTTCAGGACTAATGTCACGACTTGGATACAACTGATAAAATCGTGGGAAGACGTTCTACATGTAGTTCTCCTTGGTTAAGATATCGCTCTGCTGCTGATAACTGTGAAATGGAATGTAACCCTTGCCATGTGACGAGCCATGGCAATTGCATGAAGGGGAATTCAATTGCGACGAAATACCCAAAGTGCTGAAGTCATGTTGAGTAACCTTGGTCATATGTTTTTATTTAAAAGGGTGTAAGGCTATGGTGGCATGGTGCAGCACGATGAACGTGCGATTCTGAGGGCACCAGTTCAACTTGGAAGTTAAAACAACGAGTATGTCTCTTGAATTCCCCCGCCACTTTTCTCCACCCAGCAGTATACATTCATTTGGCAGGTTGTGTGTCGCGGGGCAAAGTGTGCGGGTATTACCACCTCTTCCAAGATGTCTGGCCAGCTTGGAAGAGTAGGCCAAATACCACTCGAGAACTTCCTGTATTGGAGACCCATCATCGGTGATGTTAAAAATCAATTGCAGGGCTGCACCTTTACCTATTATCATGTTACCTATTAAGAGCCATGAGCCAATGGCCTTTCATTAGGTAAGGAAATATATATTTTTCCCTTTGAGGCAGTATTATCGACACACATGTTGAGTGTTTGTTATTTAAGCTTGTGCACCACTGCCAAAGCAGTGCCACGAAGAAAGCATTACAAAAGCAATATTCTGTTCGAATCGTACAAGCAAGGTGTTAACTGGCTGGGTGGCTCAAGTGACGAATGTTATTGTTCCTGTCAAACCAGTGAGTCAGTACTGCTGACATTCGCTGATGTTCAGGGTTAAAGCCCCAAGCAGTGCTCAACTAAAAACAGGTTCTTGTGTACAGCTGCTTAGCCACCTATTAGTGTAAGTAATAACTATCCATCTAACACTCTTACGCTCATGACAAGTACAGTGAATATTGTGTGTGGTAATCACTGACGTTTTATTTTCATATATTTTATGTATTCTATATAATGGAGTGCTGGTAATCCTCTCGGGTGCATCCCATCTATTTGGCTGCTATTCTATCAAGTCTCCTCCCTTGGTCATAATCCCTTCGAGCAAATGTAATGTCGCCTCTCAAAGCCCACTTTTATGAAGAGTCAACATATTTCTAACTTGTGCCCTCTTATCTATCAGTTTCTCTTTCTGTCCATTGGTGCAATTTCAAACATGTTTCTCTCCATTCCTCTTTGTAAAAGAAGGGGACTCCAGCATGGCTGTGACTTCTCCAAAGGGTGCTATGATGGCACACCGGAAAGTCAAGTGGTTATGACTTTAAATGTAATATGGGTCACAACATCGGGGGGTACCGTTTCAAAACAGCACTTATGCCATCCTCCGATCAAGCTCTGAATGATTTAGCGTATACGACACATGTAGATGAAGTTACTGGGTGACTCATTTGGCTAATAATGCCCATGTCACAGCCCCTGTAAAATCCTGGTTTCTCAAAAGGGCAGCAAGACTTGATTACACCATATTCTAAAGTGCAATGGACGGATGGTCTCAGCTGTTTTCACATGTCTTTTAGGGTGGCTAATTATGTTTGGGTTAGAACTCAGGTTATTATTTTATTGTTTCCCTTCTACTGTTACTTTACCGAAAGAACCAAGAATATGGTGTGGTTATGGTTAATGTCAGAAGATAACCGATTATTGTAGTAAGAGGTAATATTAATGTCGAATTACCTTGTGATGTTAAAATTATAACAAGGGTTTCATATCTAGGTAGTATGGTTATGTGGTTAGTTTTTGGGTTACAATCTGGTAGGCCAATGTGGTTTTAAAAAAAAGAATTGTTCAGGATTTAAATGGATTGTGGTTAGGGTTAGTACTAAGTTTATAATCTGGTTGGCCAGTTGAGTTATTATTCTATTATGGGCAGGATGTAATTGTATAGTGTGGTTAATGTAGGTTCTTATGGTTGTAATGGATGACTTGTGTGTGTCATGTTCCCACTAATACCATTCTCCTTGCCCAAGTGTCACAGAGACGGACCTTACAATTCCCTCTTTAGAGCCATTTTTGTTTTATCAAATGAGGGTGTCAAGTAAAAATGTCTTTCTCAACACAGTCCTGGCCTGAACTCCTCTCTGCTGGCAGCCGTAAAACACTTGTGGAAATTCCGCATTCTATGAGCCACGCGATGGTATCATATATTGAACCATGAAGCAATGATAGGCCAAGCTGAAACACACCAGGAAATGAACTTGCGACTTTTTGACCAATCCGCGTCCTCCGACTACGCAACTTCATTCCAGTTAAAATGTCTACGGTCGTGTATTACTATAATAAATACATAGTACTTTTAGACTTGCAATCATAGCACTGTCACAATTAAATGTACCATTAGATTATTTACTGCTCATCATAATCAGTAACACTCCTCTCGAAAGTAAACAATGGTGATATTGTAGAAAGACAATCTTCCATTAGTGGAATGAGTCTAAAGTCAGGGGAATGGGGAATTTCCGAAACAGCGCATCTTATGTATTTATGTTCTTGCGCAGAATCGTTGAATGGCGTTGCATAGAGCTTGACCCAGTCGTTTAAACCCATCATCCAATTGTGGTCGATACAATTTCTCTACTTTGTGGAAAATGAAGTGTTTTCCCCACACTCCGAAGTGGAGAATCCACTTCATCTTTTTGTGGCGAGTTAAATTCATAGGGAGGTTGTTACCCCCCAATAAAATATCAGTTCATTTATTGTAGCTACAGATCTAGGCTGCGTACTGTCGGAAAGGGGCCATTCATTTAGTACGTACGAATGGAGAGGAGGTTAACCCAAATGCGTACACTTGCGTATGGGGAGTCTACTGACAATGTACGTATGCATCGGAAACGGGGGGGGGGGGGGATTAAGCCTTGATAATAACGTCTACATTGGCCTTCCAATGAGTTAGATAGTCTGGCGGTGGACTGTTTGCTTAAACACGTTAATATTATTATTCCTTGATCGTTTCTGCGTGGAATCGGAGGTGGGGGGCGTCAAGCGTACGTACGCAGGTGGGGGGGGGGGGATAAAAAGTATGCGTGCGAACAGGGAAAGGGGGGGGGTAAAGTTGACAGATTTTGTGCGTACGGACTAAATGTATGGCCCCAAATCGGACGCGTATGACATAGAGCTTGGTAAACACGAAACGTACTTTGAAAACAACCCCGGCGCGTCACAGTAACTTTAAAAACACAACGCAAAGTCCATAACACAGCACGGCCGCCACGACAGCCAACCCGAAATCAAGTCCTACTAAAGCCAGGGTGAAAGTCAACTTCGAGTGATGTTACTCTTCGCTCCCCGACTCGCCATCATGAACCTCAGGAACCCGGCACAACACAAACACCCCCCCTCCTCTTCCTCACCACCTCGCAGACGAAGCCGCCTGCCTCAAACCTCGCCGTCAACGGCACTCGCAAAAGAAGCGCACGACTGCACAGAGATATAGAGAGAGGAGGAGGAGGACGACGACTGTGATAAATACACGATTCAAACTCAAGTCCTCTTACAAACTTTTCACTCGCAACGCCGTGACGGGGGTAGAAGAGGCCCCCGGCTTTGCCTAGGCCCCACCACCACCCCCCACGCTCACCCGTCCGCTCTCTCAGCCCGCGTCGCGCTGGGGTTCACAACTTCGTGGCGCCGCGTCCGCGCGCCCCGCCGCGTTGCTCGTTAACGACTCGACGCTATTTAATTGACCGCGAGCGCCTCGTTGTTTGCTGTTGTTTGCTGCTGTTGTGGCTCAATCACGCATCTATCACCAGCAATGACTCAGTCTCCCGCACACGCCAAACGTTGCGACCTTTAACCCCGTCCCATCGCCGCCTCCTATTGGCCCGGAGCGCTTTAACGTCGTGACGTCATCGCGCAACGCCGGCGACGTTGTTGTTTTTTGACGTCGTGCGTGATGACGTCACGGCGCTCGCTTGACAGGTCGCCGTCGATCGATTCCAACCGGATCGATTACTCGTGATTCGATTTAATCGATGTTCGCAAATCGACGATGGTCTTGTCCCTGCTGGATGAGCTCACCTTGACCGGCTGTCGTAGTCAATTCTAGATTTGAAGCTTTCGTAGGTAAAAATAAAAATAATAGAAATAAAATAAATCAGACTTGTGTTGCCTCCGAAACGTCGTGATTTATTATTTTATTTCTATTGTTATTTTTATAACTTTTATTATTTATTTTTACCTACGTGACTTTACCGAAAAAACCTAAGAGTATATGTCGTGGTCAAGGCCACTTAACCATCCATTTAGAACTTGCGCAAAAGCAACTCAAGCCTTAGGGACGGTTCATAAATGACGTCACGCGATTTTGGACGATTTTTGACCCCCCCCCCTTTGTCATCACGGCGTCACAAAAAGTCAGACCCGCCCCCCTCAAATATGACGTCACAAAGCTCTGCCCCCCCCCCCACCCCCAAAATAAATAAATAATGCTTAAAATTCTTATAGATTTGAAGTTTTCGTAACTGCAAGGATCCATACTCTTTGGCATTTCTCCCAATTTAGTAAAACAAAATTGCTGTGATTTTCACACCTGATGATGATTGCTTGTGTTGCAATCGAAACGTGATTTAATTTACTTTTATTTATTTTTTATTTCAATTTTGAGTTTTATTTTAATTTTACCTACGTGACTACCGAAAGAACCAAAGAGTATGCTTCAACTCACTTTAAACTATTGTCATTGTAGTGCGTATTTAATTTGGCGCTGCACTTTGATGTTGTAGCAGAACACATTTAAAAAAAGTCTATTTAATTAAGTAGAACGTGTTGTCTATATCTATTTAAAGTTGCGCATTTTGATGTGACGTCACATTTCTCACCTCCCCCCCCTCGTCACACATCGTCACAAATGTCTGACCCCCCCCCCTCCATATGTGCGTGACGTCATTTATGGACGGCCCCTTATTAGTCACCCCGTGCCCCTTATCAATCTCAACGTTCATCCTACAAAGTCCCATCATAAGGCAGAAACACAAACAAATAGAGAAAAAAAAAATTTTTTGCCCGTATTGAAACGGATTTTCGCCGTATGGACCTGAAAACTCAATTTCCCTGTACAAGAATACGGAGTAAACCGTATGGGTTGACAGGTATGATAAGCTGATTTCACGTACTCCACTTAACAGTTATTGTGATGTCTCAAACTCTGTTCTCCAATCCGTGGGCTTACATGGCAAGGAATACTAACTATGAAAATATATTTATTTGAAGCTTTCGTGACTACAGGAATCCATACTCTTTGGTTCTTTCGGTAAAGTCACGTAGGTAAAAAAATAATAGATCACGACGTTTCGATCGCAACGCAAGCAATCGTCATCAGGTGGGACAACCACAGCAAGAACAAAATAAGTGACTTACCGAAAGAACCAAAGAGTATGATTTTTATTTTATTTTACCAGAGAGCACTGAGTTGTGTAGCTCTTTTTTCATAAGCGACCTGACTATCATGAATGAAAGCTCAACGAAGTGGCTTATCAGCGTGTGGAAACGTATAGCAACCAAACACTCTAAACACACGTTTTTAAATGTGGAGGGAAAACCCGGAGGACTCGGAGAAAAATCCACACGACCAGAGAGAGAGAGAGAAAGACATGCAAACTGTAAATATATATACAGCAGGCGTCAGGGTCGGAATCGAACCCACGACCTCCTGTATACCAGGCAAGGTAGTTAACATCTCGTAAACGTGGGGTCATGATGCCTCAATTAGTTGGGTCTCTGCCGCCGTTAATAATATTCCTATTTCTAGGATTTCCCTTCTCGGTTTCTTGGGTCTCAGTTTCTTGGTATTGTCACGATTTCTGGAGTTTCCTACAGTTGCTTTGGGTTCTCTCTCTATCTTGGGGTTCTTCCTCAGTTTCTAGGGGTTTTGTCAAGGAGTTTCAGGAGGGGTCTGATTTTGTTATATATATAAACTTTCGGGGTTGACATTTATGCATGCGTTCTAACTTATCTGTCTCTCAATGAAATTCTACTGTACATCTTTGGAAAAGAGCTTCATAGCTGATTCCTCCAGCATAAATACATATTCTGATTCTGAATTACGAGCTTGTGTAACAGGAGGGCCCATAGTCTGACTCGCTGGCCGTGACCTCGCCGAGATGACACTGTTGGATGCCACTCTGCGTTGCCTTCTGCTCTCCCGAGTCGTACATAGGAAGCTGCGAGAGTTGACGGCGAGTGAGTGACTGGAATTAATCAGTGAGTGCTGGACCGTCAATCAACCTGTTGACACAATGGGAGGAATATTTACAACCCAGAGATTCCAGCGGATGGGGCTCAGTGCTGCCCATGGCTCTGGTTCAGTGGATGGGGTCACTCAAAGCAATTAAGCTCTTAAGACCCAGTTGAGGCTGCATTCATGTCAAATGCTGCACTTAACGAGACGTACGACGGGCGATCAAAAAGTGTGGAGCTTGACGGAGAACGAATGTTTTGACAAAACAAGGGTGACTGTTGCGTTAAAACTAAGTTCAATTATTTACCAAATGTCCTAGCAATTGACTAATTCTGCTATTCTTTTTTTTTACAGGATCCTCTTGTCTGCGTGTTAACTAAAACTGTTAGAAGGTTGACGAATCTGGACAAATCTTGAGAAGAAGAAAAATGAAAATGCATAACAAAAATTTAAAATCGCACTTATCCCAAAACTGGCACCACAGCTAAATAATCCCTCGCAGGTAAAGTGCCGACGAAGCGACGTGGGATGTGATCTCTGAGTGGAGTTCCGAGAAAGACAAAGATATTTTTCTGTAGAGGGATTACATCCTGGAGACATCGATGACGATGATGATGATGACGTACCACGTACATTGCACTTCAAGTGGAACCTTATATATAAATGACATTGCTTCATCAAGGACACTCATTGCTCTCTGGCAGGACACAGACTTTTCCATCAGCCCTCATACCATCTGTTTAATAGCTAAGATTGTGATACCACAAGCACGAAGCTTTTGCAGTGATTGACCAGATGCAGTTTAAAGCTACGCATGTATATTTTCAATTAGGCAATGACTGCTCTAATCCAGTCCTCATACAACTGACAAACCACTTAATCACACTCTGTGCTATCGCCCACTCATTGTTCTTTGCTCAAAGCCATCGAATCCCATTTTGGTAACCCAAGGCAAAGTTTATCCATACTCAGTCTCCTGTTTTTCAGGCCAGAGCGAGTGGTGGAAATTCCACCCATGGGACAACTTCCCACAATAATATGTGCATTGCCTTTTAACCCCAGAGGGATGATGGGCCCTGACAGGGATGTGAACCTTCCGAATAATAATAATAATATTTAGTATATTTGCTATGAATGCCATTTTACGTAAAAATGCACTGTTAGTGGATGTGGAGTGCACCAAAGTGCAAAACAATATATTTATATTTTTTTCTGCACTGCCCTCTGCTGTCCACAATGTAGCCCCGCAGCCTATAGCATCGGTTATGCACGCTAGTTGCCCAACCAGGTACTCTCCAGAGACACACAAACCAGCTTAGCGTGCAACATCTGAAAAGATCGGGCGAATCGTGGCATATTTGGTCATATACTCATTTTATTTACCAAAGCACTTTTGAAACCATCATGCCTTTCCCACAGCCACACTCCACTCACACCACGCCACCAATCCCACACCCCACTCGGGTCACAATTCTGTCGCGGTTAGCGGCTCGCGCTGCTAATAAAAAGGCAACAATAGCAATTAGGGCTGACAGCTGACAGAGCATTCACACACACACACTTAGGGTCAATCAGCTCCGGCCCTAAGTGTGCATGCTGACCGCAGTTCCATTTAACACAATAATTGTACACACTGAGCAGCACAGTCCTTGGCATTGTGTTCACAGAGGTCCATCTAACCCCCCCCCCCCCCCCACCTGTTTTGTTGCACCAAGCATAGACCACTTGTCTCTTAGCCTTTACAGAAAGAAAGTGACGGAAGAAAGGAGGTGGGGGGGGGAAAGGAGACATTTTTCTTAAGCCTCGTTTATACAGCCCGGAGCAGTTCCGGTGAGAGTGTAATGTCCTCTGCAGAAGAAAGTGAAAGGCGTGACGGGTTGAAAGGCACAAATAAAAGAGCAATTGCGCTTCCATTAAAGGGGCTTTTAAAGGGTGAGGGGTGGGTGAGACACAGAGAGAATATGGTCGTTTTTTGGTTCACTTCTAACATCAAAAATCGTACGGCTATGTTATGAGCCAATTCTTGTTGTTTTTTGTATGAATTAAACACTCGTTCCTTATCTAAAGAAAAAAGTTGGGTGGCGCTCATCTTGATTGGTGTCACTGAGAGACATTGGTGGAAATGTCACATTTCTATGGCTTAGTCCAGGCTTATCCATTAGACAACCACAGTTAACTTCCTGGACAGACGATTGCCTGAGCTAACATCCCCTGCTGGTACGCGTTACTCATGCCCGTCTCAGTGTGATTTGAGTATTCTAATCGGACCTCTGCCCAAATCGCACAGCCTGATTTTGTAAGATCTCAGAAGCTAAGCAAGTTGAGCCTGGATAGTGCTTGGGTGGGTGACTGTGTTGTATTAATAGGGCTGCAGGGCTACGTGGTGGGTAGCAGAGGTCAGTACAGCAACATCTATTGTACTATACTACTATGCTCCCACATCTGTGCTTTGCTGAACTTCATGTATGAATGAAGATGAATCAACATAATTCCGTCACAAGTCTTGTAATAATAATATAATTACACCTGATTACGTTATAAGGGGCCGTCCATAAATGACGTCACGCGATTTTGGACGATTTTTTACCCCCCCCCCCCCCCTCGTCACACGGC